GTTTGAGCTGTGCTTGGCAGCGATTGGAGCTGCGTTTGAGCTGTGCTTGGCAGCGATTGGAGCTGCGTTCGAGCTGTGCTTGGCAGCGATTGGAGCTGCGTTCTAGCTGTTGATTGTTGTAGTATTTAGATTTCTCTGTCTTTATATATGGATGACACCAAAGACCAGTAAAGAAGGTCTTATTCAGGCCATTTGTGACAATTGAGGCATCTCAATAACGCTCTATCAACTGCAGGTCATGATCTCCACTGAGTGTGTCGAATATCATTACACTGCTCATCAGCACCTCTAATGGTTGCCAATATAATATTAGTCATGTTGTTGTCGCAGCCATCAAGATCAATCATCTCACATAAGAAGCTGCATTCGTGTTTGTAGCTGTTAAAGCGGCGTAGGTGATTGAATCGGTGTAGTGTCTTGATGATGGTACGCGGGGAGGACTTCCACGTCTTGGTTTGAAGAGATCGTTGATTTGTAATCCTTTCTGTCAGAGTATTGCTAAAGACTGTCGTTTTGTAATCTTTGCTTTAACTCTTTGACATGTGAAAATCTTCGAATTGTAGCCTTCTGGAAGTCGTCAGATTGTAACTTCCATCATCAGTGTTCGATGGAGAATTAGCTATCCGTTGTGATTTTTAGACAGCCTACAGAACCCCCTCCAAAGTTTTCGAAAGTTCGCGGTTGACTGGGACGAATTTTCGGAATACTTTGGATCCCAAAACTTTGCTGATTAAATGTATTCCATCGTAGACTGAGTAGAGCATCTCAGGGTTTTAGGCAAATTTTGTCGACATCCTCCTTCTTGTTTGATTCATCAACAATGGCTTAGACTTCAGCTTGTATGAACAGACTTTCATCCCCAGCTTAGTCAGGAGGACAGCTTCGAAAGACTCTTCTCGATCAGCTTGTCTAGGGTAGAATGATCTCAGCAGTCTGATTATTGCTTGGAATATTAACCCCTTTGAAGGTGTTATTTATGTGAGTGCAGTCATCAGAACGCATGTCTAAATCATGCGTTCGACTGTTTGACCGTGAGGGTGCGTTTGGTAGTTGAAAAACCCCTCCTCCCCTTCATTTGAAAACGCGAGAATCACGTTTCAGGTGAGATTTTACCTAAAATCTCGTTTCGATTTGACAGCTACAGCTGTTTATAAATAGACCACTGAGGTCAAATCAAAAGGTCATTCGACTTTTCTCCTTTTTTACTCAGTTTCTTAACAGAACTCCTGTTCATCTTCTCCAGCGCTTCAACGGAGGAAAAGATCCGTTCCTAAATACTTCGCCCATCTTCGTCTTCTTCGCCACAATTGCCATGGGACCTAAGAAGAAAATGGCGTCCAAATCGAAGATCGCCGAAGCTCAGGGTGCTTCTTCGGCTAGAGCCTCCGGGGATGATCAAGTTCTCACGCCTTCGTCGCTAGTTCCTTCAACCAATGGTAAGATTGACCCATTGGAAGTCGATTTGACAGATCTCTCATTTTCGACCCTTGATTGGCGATCCGTATTCCATCTTTAAACTCAAAAGATAATTCTCAGTGTTTACCAATTAAACGTATGGCTAGCTCCATCGTTCCTGAAATTTCAACGTAGGTTCAGACCCTGCGTTTAAAAAATTTTGGACGCAGGTCTGAACCTTGTGTTTAGAATTTTGGATGCAGGTTGAGACCCTGCGTTCAAGACCCCGAACGCAGGTCTGAACCTTGCGTTTAGAATTTCGGATGCAGGTTGAGACCCTGCGTTCAAGACCCCGAACGCAGGTTTGAACCTTGTATTCTTGAGTTAGACTTCTTATGACTAATTTTTCTATTTGCAGTATGCTACTCCAAAGAGCCTCTTTCTTTCTATTCAAATAAAATTCGGATATTCATCACCCTTATATCTCTGAATCTATATGCATATCCTACTGGATACAGATACGATACATATATATTTCGCATACGTACTATATATATATATATAGGTATTCAAATAAAATTCGGATATTCATCACCCTTATATCTCTGAATCTATATGCATATCCTACTGGATACAGATACGATACATATATATTTCGCATACGTACTATTCATCCATTTTGCATGCCCCCATGCAGTCAACTTCTAGATGTGTACACAAAACAATGTGAGGCATCTCTCATTTCTTTCATCATTTTTGTCGCTGAGGGAATGTGCATGCTTATATAATGTATGAATTGGTTTGCCACATAGGCATGCTAACGAAGAATATATTCGATTCCTTAATATCAATTATTGATGAGTTGTATAAATGGCTGTCTCAATGCTTGCAGAGTTAGCAACAGTAAGAATTGGGTCACGGTGTATTTTCAAGCTATATAGGCCCAAATTAAGAATCTCGTGGAGTACCATTACCAAACTTTACACGACGTTTGAAGGTGGAGACGACAAAAAAGCCAAGAGGGACAAAATGCACGTCGATGTCAAAGGTTGCGCCGTTGCGGTTGGAAGGTCAATTCACTGCTAATGATTAGGAGTACTGTAGAGGCTAATTTGTTAATTTGTTAGGGCCCTGCAAAAAGGATGGAAGCTATGGAGACATATGAAAGTGACTGTGCTAGCGAAAGGAAGAAGAAATTTTGGTGTAGATTTACGTTAATAAATCTCCCTTTTTTGAGAAGTCTTTGCACTGCTCGGATCCTCATGATTAACCTGAGTAAAAGGAAAAGTTGGCTTTCATTCTTTGTTTCCCTATGTTTTATATATCTGCATGCCTTTATTCACTCCTTTTATGCGCATGTTCACAATGGTTTTTTTTCCCCGGCCCACACATTTGCAAACCTCGTCATCGCGTTATGAAAGTGAAAGGATTTTTTTCCTCCAAATCAAGCGGATACCAGTCATACAATATTCGTCCAGTTTCTTGAAATTTGACGGTCAATTTTCTTGTTTAATTTTGGATGAGAGAACCCGGAAATTTGCACCTGTTTCATGTAAGAATCAAGTCTTGATTTACTTTTCGGGTTTTTTTTTTATTTGGTAAGGATTTGGAAAGCGCCATGAAGAGCAGAGCCAAAGATTGGAGTTAGGTTAGTAGGTAATATAGTTTAAGCCTTTGTCTTGGGATTGTGGTTAAGATGTAGGGTCAATTGGGAGGCGCTACAGGCACACCCTCAGGTACACCATCAACCACACCCCCTCTCTATCTGCAGTGCAGGGGACATCACATTAGATTTTTTTTTAAATCTGATGTGGGGCCCCCTGCACTGTAGATAGAGAGGGGGTGTGGTTGGTGGTGTGTTTGAGGGTGTGCCTGTATCATTTTTCGTGTTAATTTTGGCCATTCATTTATGAGGTTGATGTTATTTTGTTTGTTAGGATTTAAAATAATGCTAGAGGCACACCATGAGCCACGCTCTCAACCACACCCTAACACTCTCTATAGTGCTAGTGGGTCATGCATGATATTTTTAAAAAAATATCATGCATGGCCCACTAGCACTATAGAGAGTTTAGGGGTGTGGTTGAGAGTGTGGTTCATGGTGTGCTCCTAGTGAGACTCTAGGATTTATGAGGAGAAGACCGTGACGTTAGAGG